AAATTAACAATTTTTGCGAATGATGCTTTACTTGCTGGTGAAGCAGGGGTAGGAGCTTGAGCTTGAATAATATTTGTAAGATTAGTTAGTCCAGTTATCATTTAGTTGAATTGTAAGCTATTCATAATTAATTCTGATTGTTCTTTTTCATTATCTTCTTCGATTATTTGAATTACTTGATCTTCTGGATCTTCTTTAATAATTTGTATTGGTGGATTATTCTGAATTACAATTTGGTTTTCTGAAGTTTGAAGTTCAATTATTTGTTCTCAAAGTCTTTGTTGTCAACAAAACTATTGTAAAAATTTGAATATCTTGTTGTAAATGATACAAGTAAGTTGGAATTTTATGTTTTTTTGTAATGAATGATGTATAGTCAAACCTCTTTATAGTCATCACCCTCGGAAAAGCAAAATTTTGTGACTATAGAGAGAATGTGATTATAGAGAGAATGTGACTATAGAGAGAATGTGACTATAGAAAGAATGTGACTATAGAGAGAATGTGACTATAGAGAGATTTTTTTATTATGTTTATATGTAAATAGAAAAGCAAAATAGGGTAACTATAGAAAGATGTGACTATAAATAAGTGTGACTATAGAGAGGTTTGACTGTAGTAATAATTTTTCAAGTTGTTCAATTAGTTTACTGATTGGATTTTCTAGATGTGTTGTAGCAAATACTTTTGCTAGTCAAATTTTAATTTCTCTCAGTTGTTATTTGTTTAGATTTTTTGATAAATCTGTTTTATCTTTTAATTCTTTAAATAACTGATCAATTTCTATATCAGTTGATTGTGTTGAATTCAGTTTGATTATTTAAGTGATTCATCCACAAAGAATTTGTTTACTAATTGATTTATTATATTTGAGACTGTTGAATTTTTCTTCTTAATATTGATATCTTTGAAACTTTTCTTTTCACAGAGGAAGTACCAAAAATTTGTTACCATTTTAATATAACTTTAGATTCTATCATGAGAATACACATGATAGAGTCAAGTGGGAGAGTTGATGTATTAAATAACTTTAAGTTAGAAAAGTTTACTAAGTTATCTAAAGGTAGGTAACATATATTCATTTTGTTGGTTAGCTAGAATAAGACCAGAAAGATTCAAAGATAATTGTGTCTTTTATAATTCAATTTATAATAAGTTGAGCATTTTTTTAAATTTGATTTATAAACAAGTAAGATATAATTTTTTTTATTAATTCAATATTATTATTAACTTCGCAATATAAATGAGAGGTTAAATATAAGAATATATAAGATAATATAACTTCGCAATAGTGATGAGAGATTATAAAACAAATACAAGAATAACTTTGTAATTAAGATGAGAGATTATGAAAATATTATCTAAAGAATTATTAAAAGAATATAAAACTAAACTGAGTTATTCTGACTTGTTTTTCTAACTTGTTATTATTCTAAGATACAAGCTGTATTTATAAGTATTTGATAATTATAAAATGATCATTTGGAATGATCATTCAGAGTGCTTGAAATGATTATTTGGAATGATCATTTACAATAATTATTTGTAATGATTATTTGGAGTGCTTGAAATGATCAATTGGAATAATCATTTGAAATGATCATTTGAAGTGATCATGTAAAGTGATCATGTAAGATGATTATGTGAAGTGATTATGAGATAATCATTTGTAATTATGAAAATATCTAATCACAACAATATCTCAATTTATTATAATACTTATATACTTTATAATATCTATATTTATCTTATATTGATATAATTATTTTATTTTATTTTCTTCATTAATAGTCTCAATAAATTCAAATATTATTTTATTTTATTAGATAGTTTTAATAAGTTTTGTTATTTTTTAATAGTTATTCTATTTTTATGTTAATTTATTTTATTCTTTTATTTAATTATCATAATTGCATCTATTTATACTCTTGATAATAAGTTAGTTTGCATACAAGTTATAAAAAAAGATCTTTAATTTATTAATTTTTGAATTAACAAGAATAATATTGCATTATCCATCATGATCTCTAATAATTTTTCAGTAATTTTAATCTTCTTATTACTTGTATAATAATTTGTTGAATAAATATAGCAATATATTATCTAGAAAGTGATGAAAATTGAGCAAAAAGTGATATAGGTTCCACTCTTCATCAACAAAGTGAACTGTCATATCGAAATATGATTATATAATAATTAAACTTCAAATATCATATATAATTGCTATATTTTAATAGTTTATCATGCATATTATCATTATTTCAATTTTTATATGTAATTAAATGGGTAATATTCATTGAATGCATTTAGCATAATAACAAAATAAGAATTATCTATAATTGCAAAAGAGAAGTTGTCAACCAACAATGAAATCTATAATTTTATTGGTATTATTTGTCTGTTTTTAAATATGACTTGTTTTTATAGCTATCTGTAATATTTTGCAGATTATTGATTTCATTATTGTGTTTTTAAATGTTTTGTGAGTGTATCTGCGTTATTTGAAGGTTTGTAATGAGCTTTGCAAATTGAGCAAATCAAGCTTGTAACTTCATTTTATCATTAAATTTCTTGAAAAAAAAAACTCACAGATCCAAGAAGTTTTATATGAAGTTATTAAAGCTAAATCATTGTTTTCATTTTTGCTTGTTAATCTTGCGTATGTTCTATTAATGTTTCTTCTATAGTACCCTCGAACTCATTCTCAGTAGGTTCATTATCTAATAAAACTTGTTCATTTAAAGTAGATATTTTACGTTTATGAGATATTTTATTATTTTAAATAAATTAAAACACATATTGATAGATAAATTTGTTAATAAATTGCAAAAGCCATATTGCATATAATTAATTAACTAAATTCATTGCATAATACTAACGAATTACATGATTTGTCAATATATATTTTCAGACTGAGGAAACAATAATCATGAATTTATTTACCCACATCCGCTTGGTCCTATAATTGTTGTCTTTCTCTTTTGTAATAACAAAACTAACACTAACAATATCAAAATACTATATTTTCGAACCTGTTTTCACCACCTTGGAGAATCAGTGATTTCGCCAGGAATATTCTAAATCACCAGAATCATAAACGAATTCATTTTTTGGCTGGACTTTTAATCTCCGAAACTATTTCATTGGCTATTTTTAAAATAGATCATCATTCTAGCTCATGTGTCACATGAAGTGTTTTGGGTTTATATACATGTAATTATGACTGCGGAGTGAAATTTAGAAATTACGTACATAGTATGCTGCTTCATTAACAACCCTATTTCTGGGTGACCTATCTTGGAAATGTCTGGGACATATAGTTTTGATTTACATAGTACATGTATACTGTGCACATACAGGTTGGTGCGCCGGATAATCACATGATTTTAATAATGGAGCATCTATAAAGCATAGTGATAGCGTTAACACAGAAATCGATACATAAATCATCGTTTATTTTACCACAGATGAAAGCTAACATTTCGAATATTCATGATGTTATGCGTGTCAAAAATGGAATTACTGCAGAAGTGTTATCATGATTATAACGATTGTCAACAATGCAATTACGTAGTCTAACTCCAATTTCACAAAGTACGATAATATAAAGTATGGAAAGTAATGGCCGGCGGTCTTTTTTAATGAAAGAGCTGTTTTTAAAGATCAACTACTCATCATGCTCTTAAAAAATCAACACATGATAAGTCCTCTTTCCATGTCAACAAAGGCTCGAATGCCATTTGACATGTCAAAAAAATATAAGAACCATTACGAGTAATGTTATTTTAATTTACTCTTTACAATTTTTATTTTATAAAATAATGTATATAGTTTTTAATACAATCCTTTAAGCTGAACAGTTTTTCTTAATGGATGAAGACTCGTTAACTTAATAAAATTTCGCGCAATTGTGAGTCGTCATGATCGACTCTGTATCACAATCACTAAAATTCTGTCCAAATCGGGAATAGAACAGGGACCCGGAAAAAATTTGGTTTTGGATAACAATTTTATTCTTTGGTACAATTAAAATACATAATATTAAGTATTTTTAAAGATTCCTGACTTAAATTTTGACGATTATCTACTAAAAATATTATTATAAGCTGAAAAACTTCTTTCAACAGCACAAGAAGAAATAGGTAACCAAATATAATCTAAAGCTATATTACTTAAAAGAGGCAAATGAAAATGCAATCTTATTCCAAAAAATATGAAGTTGATTATAATTTACTGTTGTTAAGTCTAAATTACAATAAAAAGATCATTCTTGAATAAGAGCAATTGAAGGATTAAATAATTCAGGAATATTAATAACATATTTTTGAATATTGAAGAAAATGAGGATCAAAAATTTGGATAGCTTTAAAAAGAGATCAGGAAGGATGAGAATTAAAATGATTAAAGATTTTTTTTGTGCAGCATTAAAGACAGATTAAAAACAGAATTAAAAATAAAAGAATCAGAAGAATATTTAAGAATTATTGAAGTAATTTATCTGAAATCATTAGTAGAAATACCATTAAATAAAAATACCTAATTGTTCAATACATTCTTTTATAAAGAGAAAAAGAGGATTGAAAAAATCTAAATCTGAAATAAATTGTTGGACTTGATGTCGAATAAATACTAGGTAAACTTTAATATAAGTATTATTATAATAATCATTAAAAATAATATTAATAATATCAATTGTTTCTATTTTTTCTTGTTGTTACTCTTCTTTATACGTAAATCCACATATATAATCCAAATAATTGTAAATATAAAAAGTCATATTAAACCAAGAATTCCATTTAGTTGCATTTGATAGAGCTATAAATCGCAAAATCAATATTGTGTTAATAGTTTGAGATTCTTGAGCAGAAAATTCTTGAATTTCATGCAGAGTTAAGTAATTCATATAATGGTTGCAATGATTTTTTGAATGAATAAATGTTTTTTTAATATTTATTAATAATTTTTTTATGATATCGAACTGTGTAATTTTAATCCATGCTTCACTAAAATAAATAAATAAATTTATTTATATTAATTATTATCACATTATTTTTTGATTAAATATTTACCTAATCAAGTTCAATATATGTGCAGGACAAATATTATGTTTAAGTTGTGGCATTATCAGATATAAAACTTCTCTATAACATTTCTTCATATACGCAGCCGAATCAGATAAAAAGAGTAGTGGAACAGAGAAAGAAATAGACCATTCAGCCAAAATTTGAATCACTATTTGTCCAATAGTGGTATTATTAATGGTTTGTAAATAATTGACTGATACAAGTTTTGTTGAATTGCGATAGCTGAACAGAGTATTTACAACACTGTAGGTCCGAGAATCTGTAGTTTCATCAATAATAATGGCTACAGATTTCTCTTTAAATTCAGTATTTAATGCTTGGAGATGTTCTTCAAATATGTTGGGTAAATATTTGCGGCGCAAAGTATCAGCAGCAGGAATAGCACTACCATCTTCACGACAATAGGTTGTTAAAAATGGACGAAGTTTATCCACTTTTTCTAAAGGAATATTGGCATTAACCCACGCCTTAAGAAACTCATTTATTACAGCTTTTTTGGACTCTGCTGCTCGTATAATTGTTTGAATGCCTTGTTGTCGTTCAGAATTCCATTTTTTATATGTGTTTTTTATTTTTATATGTTTTTTAGAGTTTAAATGCGAAGTAATATAAGAAAGATTATCATAGTTGATAGAACAGGAGCAAAACGACACTGAGTATGCCATTTTCAGCGTAAAAATCATCAGGATAATTTTGTACACGAGATATTGCTGTGACTTTTTTGTTAGGTGGCATTTTAACGTGTTGTATTGTAGAATGACAAAAAACACCTATTACATATTAAAGCGCGTAAATGTGTGTCAATATGTGAATATTCGAAAGTTTAGAGTGATAAAAAACGCGTAAACGTGAAACTCGAAATTTTGGAGAGCAAAAAAAACGCGAAACGTGAGATTCAAAAATTTGAAGTTCACTCAATTTTTGACAATGCATACGTAACAAAGATAGTAAGATTTGCATTACCTGACGAAAATTTAGAAAATTTGATCCAAATTTTTCCGGGTCCCTGGGATAGAAGTGTCGTGTATTTTTTTACACCAATCTTTTTAGGAGGCCAATTATATGATAAAATTTTTCCGGCCATTACTTTCCCCGGGGGGGGGGGGGGGACTGTAATTCATTGCCAATTGCTAGCGCTAGGATCGAAAGTAACAAAAATAACATTATCGCGTTTTTGTTATCAAAGATCCTGTATCGGTTAAATACACAGAAATAAAGTAAATTTTAACTTTATATGAATAAATCATAAATATATGCGTAAATACAAAGAAGTTGAAACCGCTTTTGGTTAACTCAGAACACAGTTAATATCGATTCCATGATTACCATCAATTAAAAGTAAAGTACAGTAGTTGCCATTTTCTTTTTTATATTTTGTTGCAAGTGTTTCATCATGAATTTGTAGTTTTTCTTGCAAGACACCCGATATATCTTCATTCTCTTTGACTTCGTATGGTATACTAGAATCGAAATCGTTCGGAACATACAAACTCATACTTGTCAACCCTAAACATTCGATTAATTAAAGATTTGACTGGTGTAAACTAGGGATGGGAATCAACCAGAATCGATTTCAAAATCGATCGATTACTCGTTTTAAATAAATTCAATTAATTTGAAGAATCGATTCTCAACCCAAAATCGATTCTCGAGCACAAATTACGACGATGATGACGACGACGACATAACTGGTCTTTGGTTTTGTTTTTCATTGCATGTTGATTTTTTCCCTTTTCGTTGGAATAGTTGAAGTTGTACTTTGATTAGTTAAAAGTATACTTTGATTAGTTGAATTCGTAGATACAGAATTTCAATCTGATGACAATACTTCAGTTGCCTCTATAGTATCTTTATCTCCGTTTCATTACATGCATTTCCTGTTGTTGGATCAATATCAGTTACTCTTGGCATCAGAGTTATATTGGAAATAGTTCTTGGTTATTATCAATATTAACATTTTTGTTGAATGACAGAGTAGTTTGTCGTGTGTTGTAACAGTTCCAATTATCATTATTGTCTTTAAATCGATTCTCAAATTCAGAATCGCTTCCTATTACTAATCCACCATTCCTTTAATACATGTGTCATTTTCACAAACAGATGATTTATTTGTCGTTCACTTCTGTTTGTGAAAATGACACATGTATTACACCAATGATGGTGCACTAACGCTAACACTAATGCGTTTAGCTTTAGTAGCACAAGGTTTGTAGATAACAATGTTATCGTATCGTTATCGTTATACATAAACGTGTATAACTTCGATATCAATACAGAACGTTGATAACCATAGAGGAAAAATTAAAATGAATACGAAGCAAAAACTTGAGACGGAACCCGCAAACATTAACAAAATCACATTACCAACCGACTGTCTCATTGAAATATTACCCTGTTTAGTTGATGACAAAACCACGTTATTTTCTGCGTCGCTAGTAAATCGAGCTTGGTGTCGAATTGCTATCCCACTCCTATGGTCAACTATTAACGTTAATTCAAACAAAACCAGCCTAATTAAGACTTTTCTTAAATGTATGAATGATAATGAACGTGAAGCGATAATTGAATATTCGGAGCCATCTTATCCACGCCCACTTTTCTTGTACACTTCGTATATTAAAGAACTTGATTGGAATACGATAGATGATCTTTTTGTTGAATATGAGAAGGGAAACATTAGGGAATCTAATGACAGTGAGAAATCACTTTGGAAAAGCATATTACAAATAACAGATGAAAGAGAGAAACAAAAAATCATTACAGACTTTATGGTGCAAATATGTACACTTATTTTCAGAACCGCCACTAGCTTGGAAAAATTTGTGATTGACATAGATAGAACGCCATTCACTATACTACCATTTGCTAAGTTTCCTAATGCCTCTGTTGCTTTCTCAAAATTGAAAGAAGTTCAACTGATAGGATTTAGAGGTGTCATGTGTCATTCTTCACTATACATTCGAGATTCAGTACATCTGATGAAATCGGTATCGTCTAATATTAGATTTTTAGCAGTTCATTTATCTATATATCAATATAATACATATGATAGAGATGCTCTTTGCGACCTGATTAAAGCACAAAATCAGCTAGAGCATGTTATTCTTACTGGCATGTGCGATGATCACCGTTCCATTATTCACGCTCTACACACCCAAGCAAAGTGTTTAGCTTGTCTTGAATTCAAAACTGCGTATATTTCAAATTGGACAACATTTTTACTAAACAACCTTGGCATTTTTACGAAACTAGAGGCACTAGCATTCAAGAATTGTTATCTAACACCTAATGCGCTTATTGGTCAATTGACATCTCAACCTCCGAGCTGTCTACGCAAGTTATATATTGGTAATGATGAAAAATTTCTAGTATTGCTAGAAATTGCGGGAAGAAATTTAGAAGATTTAATTATCGTGGAAGATTGCACTGAAGCAGCATACAGAGCTATAGGAAAACACTGCACAAATCTTTTATCTTTGCAAACAAACCCTACTAAGTCTAGCAATCCATCATTACTTGAAGTGATCACTAAATTACCAAACCTGAAGCACCTTTCCATTACAAACCTATATAGAATTAAAGAAATATTTTCTGATGAATTTTGGACAGAATTATCACAAAAATCAAGCGCCAATCTTTGCTCATTGTATTTCAATTGTTTAGAAGCAACTCCACGAGCATTAGCAAGTTTCCTCTCGAATCGCACCAAACTGATAAAAGTTCTTGAATTTGGTGGACAGGTGCAACTTACTGACGAACATTTACTCGCTATTCTTAATTACTGCCAAGAGAGACAAGTTTTTGTAAAGATTTATTCACAGGCTTTTAAGCGAATGGGAGAATTCGATTCGTATTTGATTGAGCAACTTAAAGAATGGGTCAGACTTGTGCCGAACAAGAGATTCGATAGGTATTCCCCTTTTATGGGAATCCGTGAAAATATTCTTGAAGCCACAATTTCGTGTATGTAGTAACAAAGTAAAAAAGCACATTTCATGATTTTTATGTATCTATTTCACAATGTACACGCAAATTTACTAAATGTACATGAACATTCACTTTATTTTCATTTGATGGACGTTTATACGTAGTAATAGCGTTAAAGTAAAATCGATTTTTAATTAAGCATCTAAATTTTTCGTTCCAAGACAATACATCACTATCGAGTATTCATTTGTAGCTGGGTTTCTAGTTATTCCTGATAGTCATCACTATCAGTTGCAGTCTGAATCTAATTTGAAAGTGTATTATATTGAAAAACAAAAAAGCAATATACATGCAATTTGCTTTGAATTGTGTAATAATTTCAACACAACGTCGAGTTCTCCATATCGTTTAATTTATGATCCCATGTATAAGTTAATGGTTCGTCCAACCAGACCAGGTTGCTTTATAAATTGATCCAAAACCTCCTTTTGAAAAATATTCAACCTTTCCATTCGAAAGATTTTTTTGCAAGATATTCTATATTGGTAAATCTTTCACTTTTTATTTCCGTGCATTAGACTGTCGGTATCTTTATTTCCGCTTTCAGCTTTATACATTCGTTTGTGATATAGAAAGCATCCACTGCAGTATATACTTATTTTTTTTGACAAGTACATTTACAACAATCATGAATATTGTGAACTGGACACTTTCTGCAGTAATCCCGTTCTTGACAACACCAGCATTCATTACAATCATGAGTATTCGAAGGTTTGCAATTCCGGCGGAAAGTAATGGCGGTGAGATTGTTATGTAAATTTCACTATAATATTAGCATTTTTTATAGAAGCAAAATATATAAATAAAGTGCTAGATTTCTAGTAAGATAATAACAATTAAAAAAATAAAAATGTGATGAATTTGCGAAAATCCATCATTTTCCCAGGTTTGTAAAATTTTCAAACCTTATTTTCTCCATAACCAGTGATCAGAATATTATAATTTCGGTCTTATTAAATTTGGCTCAATAAGTCGAACATTTTGGTAGAAATTTCATTTTAATCAGAATAATATTTATCGAATTATTGCGATTTTTAGTTAAAAAACGTCCAAGTTACAAATTTTTAGACCATTAAGTTTTATTCAAACTTGGAAAGAGATCACATCAAATACTGATATTTTAGGGGCATAATGCCCTGCTCAAAGGCACTAGCAAAATAATTTTTTTGAATTTTATTTATAACGGTAATTGAATGAAATATAATAACAAAACTGGCCGCCATTACTTTCCGCCGGAACTATATGAGTTTATTGGTGATTTAAAAACCAATGATCTATGTGTGGAAGTGTTTGTACATGTAAATCGATTTATCGTTATCATAAAAATGACTATTGTCATGTACGCTACAACATGCATGTACATGTATGTTGTGAACATTAATTCTTATGAAGTTCTATGAAGATACATGTATACAAATGATGATCATATGTAAATGTTCATTTTGATAGAACGCAACTACATGTATAAACCACACATGCCTCGATTTTTAATTGGTTAGAGTTTACTTATCGGTGTTCTCGTGATCTCTAACATTCTGATTGGTCTGACAAACTGACAAAGTAAAAGTTTATCCATTTATTTCTCTATAGATGATATGCAAGTATCATCAGTATTAATGAACTAATATTAGATCACCAGGATGATACAACCGGAATTTTGAGCATTTTGGCATTATTCTTGAGTTTGGAGTGGCAATTTTTTCAATGTTTACAACTTTGTTTAAATCTCAACATATATCATACTTTCAACCTCCAAAAATAATCATAATCAATAATTATTATCATAATTTTCATTACATTCATTCAGTTCACTAGAAAAGAAATAATGACAAAAAAAAATAAAATTGCTGGAATTTGGAGAAAGAATAATGGAACAGAACAAGTATTCTATTATCCAAAAATAAAGGAAAGATCTTGTATAATAAATGACAAGGAGTTGTATTATTGAATTTTTGAAAGAATTAATTAATATAAAAAAGAATATATGAAAAATGATGTGAAAATTTATTTTTATTGATAAAAATTACAAGTCTAATTATTTTTATATATAATATAAAAAAAATTAATTATTTCAATTAAAGACTAGTTTCAATTTTTAAATGATTATCAAGTTAATTGTTACATTCTAATATTTATTATTTATCAAAGTTTTATTAATTAGATTTTGGCTAAGCCTTTTATATTTATTATAAAAATTATTATTCTTAATATTTTGTTTTATTATTGAAATTAAAGTTTTTTATCTATTATTAATTCAGCTTTTTTTCTTTTTATAACTTTGAAATTCTTTGATTTACTTTTTTAAATAGTTTAGATATAATTTTTAATTTATTTGATATATAGTCAAATCTTTTTATAGTCATCACCCTTAGAAAAATAAACTTTAATAACTATAGAGATGATGTGATTATAGAAAAATTTTTTTGATTATATTATTTTAAGACTGCTCTTTAATTAATTTTGAAATTTGTTTATTAAAATAAAAATTCTTAATTATTTTTATATTTTTACTAAATATTTATTATATTTAAAATCAAGTTTTTTATTATAATATAATTTAAATAATTAAAATAAAATTTGTTATAACTGTATTTATAATTATTTTTAAGAACTCATCAATAAAATTATTGTAATTCTTATTATAAATATAACTCTTTAAGAAAATAATTAAGTAAAAAATTTTATAAATAAACTTATAAATAAATGAGATTTTTATTAATAATATTAATAAATCTTTAAAAACTTTAATGATATATTTTATCAAAAATAAAAAAATATTTTTAATTAATAAATAGAGTTTTGAATATTTTTTAATCAAGTTTTAATTTCTTTTAAATTTTTTTTTCAAAATATAATAAACTTTATTTTTTTATAAAAAGCTTATTGAATTAATAAATATAAATTATTTATTTATTTTTCTTGTTTTTTGAATTGAATATTTATACTTTTTTCTTTTTTTATAATTAAATATATATTAAATATAACTAAATAATTATTATTTAAAATTAAGCATTTTATGCTATTACAATATAAAATATCTAAAAAGCTAATAATAAAATTTAGTTATCTTAAAAAATAAAGAATATTTATATAAAGATTATATAAAAAAATAGAAACTATTATTTTATAGTAAATATAATTAAAGGTAATATTATTGTTTCTGTTGGTTTATTAATTTTTAAATATAAATTATGTGTTCTTCATGTATCTTAATTAAGTGGAAGAGTTATTAAAGATTTTTATGTATTTAAAATAATTAAGGTTGAAAGAGACTAATTTAATAAAAATAAGTAACGGCATGTTCATTTTGTTGAACTGCTAGAATGAGTTCAGAAATCTTCTTTTAATTCAAATAATTTAATTGTTAAGTAATCTTCTTTT